GAAAAAGAGAGAGAAAGAAATAGAGAGAAAGAAAAAGAGAGAAAGTAAAAGAGAGAGAAAGAAGAAAGAAAGAAAGAGAAAGAAAGGAAAAGAGAGAGAGAAAGAAAGAAAGAAAGAAAGAAAGAAAGAAAGAAAGAAAGAAAGAAAGAAAGAAAGTTGAGAATGTAAATTGCCCTGGGTTCTATCCCTAGTACCACACACACACGCGCGCACACACTGAATACAAAATACTCAAATAGAAAACATTTTCCTTTGTGTTATCTGTACCGTTTTCCACAGTGCAGCTTCCGTGTCTCAGCCCACACAGAGACCTTTGGAGCACAGAGTGCGGTATGCCTGTGGAGCTCCTACATCCATGAGGCTGGCTCTGATCCATGTCCATTTTATAGATGAGAAAACTGAGGCTCAGAGAGTGGCACATCTTGGTATTCTCAGTCTGATTCCAGGTCGTCTCCTGTGTCCTTCTCCCTGCACCATGTCTCCTCATGACTCCTTCCCACTCATCCATCTCCAAAGAAGGGTCTGAGGCCATTAAATCATAGAACCTGCTAACACAAATGCAAACAGCAAGGAAAAGTGGGCCAGGGGCTGACTCTGTGGAGAGGCTGTGTGCCCTCGGCAGGCCACACAAACTCTCTGGGCCCGTATACTCTTCCCAGAGACAGGCGCAGGGCTCAGAACCCCTGCCCTATCCCCCCACCCCTCCCCAAGCCTCACCACCAATGCCGCGTTCCTCTCAGTGTCTGAGCTTGAAGCAGCCATAAAAAAATCAAACCACAGTCCCCCAAAGTGCTTGCCGGCTTCTTGGGCCTTATTTTTTTTGGCTGCTAAGGAGACTAATAAATGGCTTGCCACTTGACGTAATCATTAAGGGCTCCACTGAGCTGTGGGCAGCGTTTCCTCCCTCCCTGGCTGGCCTGGGGCGCCCAGCCACCGAGGGTGGCAGTGATGGATGGTGTCATCATGGGGCTGGCCCGGGGGAGAGCAGAGTGGGCGGCCTGCAGGCTCCCCGCCTATTCATTACGGGAGGGAAGCTTGTGTGCAATGCTGGCAGCTTCCAGGCGGCTCCCAGGGCACGGGCGGGATGCCTGAGGGGACCTCGGGCCAGTGACTGTGAAGTCCAGGGCTGGAGCGTGGGGAGACCACTGATGAATGGCCAGGAAAGCAGACGCAAGGAAGAAAGGGCAGCTTAGTGAGAGATCGCCCAAGAATGCGCATTAAAACATACTTTCCAAGGTTATAAAATGGGTAAACGTTTAAAAAGATTAATTAAAAGTTAAAAACTTAACGTAATAAATTGACGGCAAAAATGGTTTCTGTCTTCTGTCCCCCTCTGTGTCTGTTCCCTTGCCAATGTGGCTTTATAGTTCCTCTCCTCCAGGGGAAGTCTGTTCTCCACCCTTGCAAGGGGGCGCAGTCAGGTGACTGGATCAGCCCAATTGAATATGAGCAGACGTGATGGTGTGGTAGTTTTCAGCAGAGGCCTCAAGAGGACTGGCTACTTTGTGTGCTTTCTGGATCTGTGCTGCCTTGGCAGGTACAAGCCCAAACTACCCTGGTGAGGAGAGACACTGGGGAGCTGATGTAAAGCAAGTGGGACAGCCTGTTATAATCTGTACAGCCAGTCACAGATATGTAAATGATGCTAGGTCCACCAGATCCACCAACAACCTGTAGACACATGAGCAATCCTAAATGCTTACTGCTTGAAGTCACGTAGGGATTTTGTTATGCAGCAGTAACTGACTGACACGTAACCAGTGCAGATGATGGGCTGGGAAAAGAGGTGTTCTCACACAGAATAGACAGGGCAGACATTCAAACTTTGCATAGCCGTTGAAGTAAGTAAAAGATGCAAAGTGATATCATTTTGTGGCCAAATGTCCAGGGTGCTAAATGAGAAAAATCAAATTACAAAACAGAATTATAATGTGATTCCAAGGCTTGTTTTCGGTAATAGTGGGTCACACTTAGGGTCTCATTCATGCTGGGCAAATGGTCTATCACTGAGCTACACCCCCAACCTATTTGCTCTCAACTTTTATCTTAAAAAGTTGTTGTTCTCTCTCACACTCCTTCTCCTTCTCCCCCGCCCATCTGTGCAGAGAAGAAATGTGGAAGGAGCTAACCTAAACTGTTATCTGGGTTTTCCCCTGAAGGTTATGAATCTGTTTTTGATCTCCATATTACCCACTGGGGATCCCTAATCTAAAAATCCAAAATTCAAATTACTTCAAGACTTTTTGAGCCCCAGCATGATACCACATATGGAAAATTCTATCTTGACTTCAAGTGATGGGTCACAGTCAAATATAAAGGCCCTAAAGATAGGGTATAAAATGATTTTTCAAGCTAGGAGGACAAGGAGTGTTTGAAGCATAAATTTTGTGTTTAGACTTTGGGTTCCATTCCCAAGATATCTCATTATATATATGCAAATATTCCAGAATCTGAAAAAAAATTAAGAACTTTGGATCAGGGCTACTCAACATGAAACACAGTGATTTTGAGTTTCTTCTGTGCCAGATAAGGCTTTAAGTGCATCCATGTGGGACATCTTTTAGTCCTAATGCATCTGTGATGTGGGTGCCAGAATTGTGCCCATTTCACAGGTGACACCATTAAGGGTTCTAGAGAAGTATGCACTTGATGTTACACAGTCAGCAACAAGGCAGATGTTTAAATTGCTAAATTATCTACAATAAGCATGTGCTACCTTGGTAAACTTGGATAAAGGTATCTAATGTTGATTAAAAGAAATAAAGAAGGAATATCAGTAAACACCCTCAATATTTAATGGCACCTATCCAGGGAGGGGTGGAAGGGGATTGCTGGTCAGATTTACATATTCTGATGGGCCTGAGTCTTTGTGGGACAGTGAGCATGGCAAAATGGCTGCAAAAGCTGGCGCAGAGCAGTTGCTGAGGAAGGCGTATGCATCTGTTTTCTGTTTTCATAACCAAATATCTGAAGCTGGATCATTTGTTGAGAAGGAAGGTTGTTCGGCTCACAGTTTTAGGGGTAGAAAGCTGGCAGTGCTGAGGGTCTCCCTGGTGTGTAACATCACGATGGATGGTGCCCTGGCATGATCACACGTGAGGCAGGGGGAAGGTCAAGTGGTAAAACAGAAATCCAAGAACACTCAGGGACAAGTGGTGCTCTTTTTATAGCACTACTTCCTGGAGAGCTGCAGTTGAAATTTCGTGAATCCCTCCTAGGGGCAGAGCCTTCCATGGTTGAGTCACTTCACACTGGTCCCCACCTCTCAAGTTCCCACTGTTTAATCACACATGGTGGGACCGTGCTTCTAACACATGAGCCTACATGAACAACATGTAAACCATAGTAGAGGGTGACAGTCCCAGCCCCCACGGGGCCAGTGATACCCACCTGGACATCACACTTGGAAAGACTCTGAACACTGGGCTACTGGCCACAGGCAGTCAGCAGTTTGAGGGCCAGGGCCTATCTGCTCCATGTCGGCTGGAACCTCAGAAGCCCATGCAGCTGGGGCACCCACAGAGGGCTCATGGTGCTTGTGAAGTAGCCCTTGGGTGGAGGAGTGACTGAGCCAGCCTAGGTGCTGCGGTCAGAAGCCTGAGGCCAGAAGACAGGGTCGGGGTTGGTGTGCCCCCTCGCCTGCCGTACTCCTGCAAGCTCCCCAACCACAGGCCCTCCTTCCTTTCGACAGAGAGCCCCTCTGCCCACTTATTGCTGCCCCCAGGTGGGAGGGACCCTGAGCAATGTCTAGTGCCACACTGCCACTTGGAGACAGAATATTTTCAACCTGTTTATTTACTCTGATAAGCCTAGAGCTACTTCTGGTGGAGCACTTGAAAATAATCAAAGTAGAAAGGAGCAAAAATCCTGCCCCATACCTCCTCCACCAGGACGACCAGGTCGACCTGCCAGAGTTCTGTCCTCTGGGGTTTTCTTTACTTGGTGGGCCTTGGGCTTGAGCATACGGCTTCATATCACCCCCGCGAAAGCTGTGTGCTCAGAAACTCCGCCGCGGGAGATTCCAGCCACCCAGGACCTTGGTGCATGGGGCTGGCTCCTGAGGTCTGAGGAGCCCTACAACCTTGCAGGGAAGGTAACAAAGGTGAAGTTGGTTTCTGGGGGCCCCAGCCCCCCACTGTGAGACTGGATCACTTTGTGTCTGGCTGATATAGGTGCTGGGGGGCCCACAGTTTTGATCAAAGGAGATTCCTCTGCTTCCGGAAGCTCTGACCCATCATCCAGGGAGGAGGACCTGTTCGGCCTCTCCCAGCAAACCAGGCACTGGGAGACGGGGGCCCGTATTATGCGTTTGTTGGACTCGCATGATGAGTGGAGGCCACCTCTAGATAAATACAGAGTCAAGGCACAGAGAGAAGGGCTCTTCTAGGTGGGGACAGAGACGTCCTCTCAGGAAGGTGACCTCTGAGCCATGGCAGGGATAGGAAGAGGACGGCAAGGGCAGAGGCTGGCAGCAGGCCTGTCAGGGGTGACGGGAAAGACAGGCAGAGACAGAGCCAGAGAGATGAGGGCAGGGCCCAGGCACCCAGCCTAGGTGCTGCGGTGAGGGGCAGGCAGAGGGTTTTAAGCGAGGGAAGGACGTGCCCGGATTCACGAAGGGAAAAGTCACTGGCTGCCTTGGGAAGAGGCTGGTGGTCTGTGGAGGCTCCTCAAAATCAGGCCCTGGTACATATTGGGATGGACTGCCCTCATTCTGCCCTTGTGGTGTCCCTCAGGGTACCACTCCGCAGTGGCCTGTGGTTCCTGCACTTGGGGACCACTTGCCCTTGCTGCAGGGAGATAGGAACAGAAAATCCCTCCCCTGGCCTGGCCAGGGGGCTGCATGCCACCCCATGTGGCCCTGATGTGATCCCTGTCCTAGGGCACCTGCCAGAGCCGGGCTGGCTGTGTCCTGCCTTGTTCAGACTCCCAGTGACCTCAGTGTCTTGGCAGGAAGGGGCCTGATGACCACAGCTCGCTGGACACCCAGGTCAGGGCAGAACCTGAGCTGAGCACCCTTCTGACCCAGCACATCACACTGGGCCCACACCCTGGGACTCTGGGCCCTTGGCTCCTGAAGTCACCTGAACAGGGTAGGCAGTCTGTCAGGGGCACATCTGGCCCATGGGTCAGGTCTCCACAGAGACCTGTTCGCACGCACTCTGGGCTCCATTTTTCAGTCCCCAAGGGAGGCCCCCATTGGGGCAGAAGGGGGGGAGATGAACGTGCCAGCCAGGGGCACAAGATCTAAAATGTGGTGGTGTTTGGGAACTACTTTACTGAGACATAAATCACAGGCCACCCCGCTCAGCCATCTGAGTATATCCATCAATAGACCTCAGTATATTCAAGAGTTACGCAACCCTCGCTGCGTAACGTTTGGAACACTTTCATCACTTCAGGAAGAAGCCCTGTACCCTTCGCAGTCATCTTCAACCTCCCTCCTTCCCCAGCTCTCAGCAGCAGCTGCTCTATTTCCTATATCTATGGACTCACCTATTCTAGGCTCTCCATTTAACCAAAGTGAGTACACCGCCAAATCTTTTGTGTCTATCTTCTTTCCCTCAGCATGTGTTTGGGGATTCCTTCACCTTGTAGCAGGGGTCAGCGCTTCACTTCTTTTCATAGTTAAGTGATATTCCACTGTATAGAAGGAGCACACTTTGTGTCTCCATCTGTTGGTTGATGGGCACTTGGGTTGTTTCCTCCTTTGGACCATTATGTTGCTGTGGACATTTGGGTCCAAGTGTTTGCATGCTTGTGTGTTTCCATTCCTCTTGGATATGCCTTGGCGTGAGTCCCTCTGTCAAGTGGTACTCCTACCTACATTAGACTGGTTTTTTTTTTTGTCTTTTTTTTTGAGACAGCGTCTCGCTATGTGGTTCAGGCTGGCCTCAAGCTCACTTTGTAGCCCAGGCTGGTCTCGAACTTGCAACAATCCTCCTGCCTCAGCCTCCTGAGTGCTGGGATTCCAGGAGTGTGCCACCATGCCTGGCTAGACTGTTTTTTAAGCATATGTTTGAAAATGGTGAATGTGTGTGCATGTGTACGTGTTCATGGTTATACTTGCAGGTATGCTTTCAGCCTGTGAGCACAGCTGTGTGTGTCTCACAATGTTAAATCATCCATGGTAGGTAGCGGTTATTGTCTAGTTTTTGTCCCACATATAAACTCTCTTGTTCTGTTTTCTAACATTATAACAGAGCACTGCAGACTGGGTAATTTATAAGGGACAGAGTTGTATTTGGCTGCAGTTCTGAAGACTGACAGGTTCAATGTCAAGGTAGCAGTGGCTGGCCGAGGCCAAGGGAAGAGAACGCCTGAGAAACCAAGAAGGACGTGGGCTGAGCATATCTTTTGATGGGAACCCACTCTCAGATGACTGGTCCCCTCCTGCAGCAATGACAGTAGTCCACCGCCATCATGGCCTGGTCATTTCTTAGAGTTCCTGCCTCTTAATATCACAATGGCAGTCAACTGTCAACCTGGGATTTGGCAGAAACGCATGGTGCACAGCCTGGAGCTGGGTGGGAAGGCTGTTCCCTGGCAGGGAGATCTGCGTGGGCAAAGCGGGTGAACAAAAGAGAGGCAGAAATGGGATCTCTTGCTGGAAAGTGGCAAGCCCCCGCATTGGACCCCCACATCCGCATCTGCAAGTCTTCCTTCCACCCTACCAGTCCACAGACCAGACCCATGTCTTACACAAATCATATGCAAATTTCCACCTTCCCATCAGCCCAGAGGCACCCAGAGGACTGGGAAATATTCTCGACTGGGCCCTTCCCTTCATTAATTTCCGAGCCGTAGTACATTACTCATGGATAATTAAGAGTGAGCTATTAATACAACATTTAATATTCAAGTGCAGCGAAGAGGAGAGAACTCTTAAGTCACAGAATCTTACCCGACAAGACACTGCGGTTTAGAGATGAAAGGTTTTTTTTTTTTCACCTTCCAGATGCTCCATGGAATGAGGCCTGAGAACTTCATTTACTGATAGACTAGGAACAAGACCTCGGATCACCAGAACACCCATATGTGGGGCCAGCAGTGACCGCAGGCGGTCCTTACTTCCGGAAGTGTAACCTCTCTGTGAGACCTGCCCAGAGCCCAGAGTGGCCCGTATGTCCCTTGGCTGGAGGGAACTGATGACAGGAGGTTGCTCAGAGCAGTGACAGAAGAGGAAACATGGCAGTGGGACCAGGTCTGTCCACAACAGAGGCAGCTGAGCCTCCGGGGCTTGGAGCATCTGGGTTCTGGCCACCCGCTAACCAGTGTTCACCTTGGCCTGCCCGCTCTCTCCCTGTGTGGCCTTGAAAGTACGAGCCCCCCATATCTCTGCCTCACTGACCCCCGAGTCTGACGCAGAAGAGGCTCTCACTGAGCACGGGCTGAGGGAGTAAGACGTGTCTGAGCAGCCTGTGGCCTCAGTTTCCAAGGCCACGAAGTGGGCTCTGTGCGGGGTTGGCCCTCATGACTGCTTCCCACCTTCTTTTGGCTCGAACATGTACATCCGAGCGGCACTTAAATGCCAGCCGCTGGACATCCCAGAGGCCACGCCTCATGCGTGGGTGGGAAGGCCAAGCCACATCCGCAGTAGCTGTGACTTTCCTGGGGTTCGGCCCCCTGGCCAGCTCAGCAGGGGCAAGCTGTGTTGTGGACCTGGGGTAATGCTCTGAGGGGGCGTTGCACACCCCAGATGCTGGCTCCCCCGTAAATACCCTGCTGCTGGTTTGTGGCTCTGTGGTTCTGGCCACGGGAGCTGATGGGACAGCCCTGTAGGGGCACGGGAGGGAGGTCAGCCTGCGTACAGGGAAGGACAGCCTGCCCTTGGCCAGACCTGAGCTGAGCACTTCTCTGGGTGCACGGATAGTCTCAACCACACACCCCACCTGCGAGGCACAGACATGCCCTCAACTTTCCACACGAGGCTGGATGGCTCAGAGACATCAAGGAACCTGTCTGAAGCTGCCCAGCAGAGTCTGGGACTCCTGGGACCCCATCTCCAAGGCCTGTTCTATGTCCCCCTGCTTGGGGTGTGCTTGGTGGATGGGTGAGGATGTGGTGGCATAGAGCTAGTCTCAGAGTCCGACTGGCCCAGCTAAGTCCTCACATAACCCTGTGGGACTATGGTAGTGTTATTCTCATCTCACCACCCAGGCCCTTCGCGCTGAAGTGGGAATAACGGACTCAGAGCCGACGCCCGGCCCCTCTCACTCCCAGGTCTGGAGGAACTGCCCTAAGCACCTTGCCATTCGTGAAAGGTGCCCATTTACAGCCGGGAAAAGAGCCCACACCAGAAACCAGAGTAGCTGGGACCTTGGGCTCGGACTTTAGCCTCCAAAACTGTAAGAAAACATCTCTGAGGGCTGAGGATATAGCTCAGTGGCACAGCACCCTCCTGGCAAGTGCCAGGTCCTGAGTTCGATTCCTAGTGCAAAAAAAATCTCTGTTGCTTAAACTGCCAGTCTGTAGTGTTTGTTGTGGCAGCTTGTCTGAGTCTGCTTTGGATGCTATGACAAATTACCGTAAGCAGGTGCCTTAAAAGACAGGAGTTTATTTCTTACATTTCTAGAGGGTAGGAGTCTGAGGTCAGGTGCTGGCAAATTTAGCTGCCCTTGAGTTGGCTGGGTTTTGTTGACTTCACACAAAACAGAGGGAGGAGAGGAGAGGTCCTGCCTCTTCCTGTAAGGACACCAGTACCATCACGAGGGCCCCAGTCTCAGCCTTGATGACCTCCCAGAGTCCCCACCCCTCTCCCCCGTGTCAGCCAACTTCCCATCACTAGAACAAAATACCCGACATAATCAACTTACACAGTGAGAAGGTTTCTGTGATTACGGCCCATGACTGACTGTTCCCATTGTTTGGGACGGTGGTGAGGCTTATCCCCTGCATGGTCAGGAAGTCAGAGTGAGCAGAAGAGCCCGGGTCCCACTGTCCCCTTGGCAGGCACACCCTCAGCGACCTAAAGACCTCCTACCACCGCTTAAGGGCCCCATCATCCTCCTGTAGCACCACACCAGGGACCAAGCCTTTGCCACACAGACTTTTGGGGGACACTAATCCAAATTGCAGCACACCCACTGGGGATACAGCTTCGACATAGGAGTCTCAGGGGTGCAGCGTGCAGTCTATAGTACAGCTTGAATGAACAAGTATACCTTCCGTTCTCCTTGCTTCTTCTTTTCCTTTCTCCCTCTCTCCCACCCTTTCTTCTTTCCACTCATCTTTCTATCCCTTCATCCATCCACCACCCCCTCCGATCCATTAAGTATTATTCAGCCCCTCTTCTCTCCCTTCTCCATCTCTTTTTTCCTCTATCTGTCCACCAGTGTATCCATTCATCTACCTGTCCATCTAACCATCCATCCATCCATCCATCCATCCATCCATCCATCCATCCCTTATTTCCCTCTTCTCTTCCTCCATCCATTTCTCTGTTACGTCCTTCCTTCTGTCCACCCATCATCCACCCCACCCAGGCCCCATGAGGGAGTCACTGAGACCCCAATACTCCCACCCTGCACTCAGCACCACCCAGGGCCCAGCAGTGTGCTCCCGGAGTCTCTGCACGAGGTCGGCTGTGTTGCCTCGGTGTACTTTCCACCCTTACTCTAGTAGTCTCTGCCTCAGTCGCCACACCGACAAGCCTTGCTAAGTCACACCCTCCCAACTTACCTTCAACATTGGGTTAAAAAAATCCCACGGGCCGTGTGTTTGTACGATGAGTCAATGAATAGGAAATTAATTTTGTTTACACAGATAGGAATGATTAAACCCCAACAGCTGTCTAGACATTTCAAGCTGCAAAGGCCAGAGCGTTCAGGGAGGCTCCCCAAGGGGAGGCTGGCCAGGAGATGCCAGGTATGGGGGAGGATCCCCTGGGGGCGCTGGCAGAGAGCTGGACAGCCCTCCCCACCTGCTCCGCCTTGCCCCTCCCAGACCGGCTCCACGAAACTCTCCCCAGAGCCTCATTTGCATGCGCCCCAACTCATTTCCATATCCCCGGGCTCCGGGGGGCGCGGCTGCGGCAGGGCTGGCTGACAGCAGCCCTTTTGTTTCCTAGTGCCATCCGGGGAGTTACTCCTCCATCCTTCGAACTGGGAAAAGGAAAGAAAAGGAAGAAAGCGAGAAAAGAAAAGGCAAGGGGGAAAGCCCTCAAGACAAAGAGACAGGCACCATCTGGGCAACAGGAAGGGAAGAAATGCCACTGTCTGGAGTCGGGCTCTGGGGAAGCCGCGATGGAGGGGCAGGGCCCAGGGTGGCTGGGCTGGAAGAGCTCCGTGTTGCTGGGTCTGGCTCAAGTCCAGGCCTCATCATTTACTTGGCTCTGGAGTCTTGGGCAGGTGACAGGGGCCGGGGTGCTGTGCCTCTGTTTCCCCGTCTGGGAAAAGGCGATTTCACACCAGTGCCCTGGGGTTGCTGGGAGACCTGCCGGGGCAGCGTGGACATTGCTGGGCCTGTCACTGCCCCTAGGGTCCCCGCTCTCCTGTAATTCCTGCTGCATCTCCGGGTGGTGAGGGGACCCGGAGGCTGAGTGGGTGGTGCTGCGGATATGCCTTCCTCCCACGGGAGGCAGCCCCTGTCTGTCCCGGCTCTGCCTGGCCCCTTCTCGGGGTGCTCGGCTTCCCCAAGGTGGTCGGACTCTACCTCCCAGGGCTGGTGCTCTCATTCCTGCCTTTGCTACCCTAAGTGGGCAGCAACAAAGGCAACGTAGAGAGTGAGGTATGGGGATGACCCCGGGAATGTTAACAAGAGAACTTAGTGCGGCTGAGCTGTGCACCCTGCTCTATTATCCATCTTCTTGACACTGTGCTGCAGCAGTGACTGGGACGCCCCTTTTACAGATGGAAGCATGGAGGCCCAAACTCAGCCCCAGCCTGTGCTTCTTGCAGGCTGTGAAGAGGACTTTGGCTGAGGCTCCTGCCTATGGCCTTTCTGCCTAGGGATACTTGAGCCACATCCCAGCCTGTGGAGCAGCCCCTAGGCCCCTTCCCTACCCAGGGAAGGTACCTAGCAGTACTTGAGTGTGAAGATTCCCAACAGAGCCCTGCTCTAGGCAGATGGGCCTGGGGCTCACTGGCAAGAAGCTGGGGTGTGTGGGTGTGTCTCTGTCCCACCATCTGGAAGAACCTGCTTCAGAGCACAGTGGCCCTAGGCACAAGCTAGAAAACATCACCGGTCCAGGATGGGCAGGCAAAGCTCCAGAGTCTCTGGAAATGCTCCGGCTGCCTTTGGGATGCTCTCCCCGGGCCCACCTTGGACCTGTGGCCCTAGTCCCTCTGGTGTCTGTGAGGGCCTAGGGAGGTGCTAGAAGCTCTTGGCCTGGCCCCAGTTCTGCCCTGTGCCCCCGGGGGTTTAACTCTGTCCCGAGGTAGACACTGCGGTTTTAATTATAGCGCAGAGCAAAGCCTTGTGTAATGCTGGGTGATTCATCTTTCTAACCTTGGCTCCTGGGTGGGGTCTGAGGACCTCAGCACCTGTCTGGAGTGAAAAGGAGGAGGTCAGAGGGGACAAGAGATTCTCTTGGCTTCCTCAGACTTCCCCAAAACACCTCCCTTGCTTGATCATTCCTTGCATCCGAGAGACTCTTGCCTCACTTTCAGTCAGGTGAAGCAGAAGCCAGGCTGGGGGCTTCTCGCTGGAAGCTGTGGGCTGTGAGTTCGAGACTTCGCTCACCTTAGAGTTTCTATGTGACCGGCAGCAACACCCTGGCTCCGTGGGCCTCAGTTTCCACACTTATCCAAGGGGGCTTGTGTGTTTTGTCCCCTGGTTGTCCCTAAAGGTGTCATGAAGGTTAAATATTTGTGACCTGTGCCTAATTTACTTCTGCTTATGCTTCCCAGAAGCCCTCGCCTGGATGACTTTTGCTCATAACCTGCCGCTGGGGAGGGAACTCTGGAGCATTGGCAGGGACCCTGGCGGGGTCTGAATGTTGCTAAACCTGGCAGGCACAGGGAAGGTACCTAGCAGGTGGTGGCTGAATGAAAGACACCTTCCCTGGGGTGAACATTTTGGAATGTGACCCAACCAAGGTCACACAGCCAGCGGCTGTGATGTGTGGACCCTGAGGGGGAGTGACACAGGCCCCCATTGTGCAATCTGTATGCACATGTCCAGGGGCAGGGGCTGGGATTAGCACCCAGGGGCACAGGGCCACCAGGAGAGGCCTCCTGCTCCTGGGAGGCTGGGCAGGCCACTACCGGGCCAGCAGTCCTCAAGGGCAGGGCTGGTGAGAAACTGACACCCCGAACACTTGGTCCTGTCACTCCCGGGGGATTTGGTGAGTGGGTGGGTCACTTGTCGGGTACATGCTGTGCTGGGCAGCTGGGAGGTAGTGGACTTGGGACATTCTTTATGAGCCTGACACCGTGGGATAGGAGGATATGGTATACATCAGTCACTTCATAAGTGTTCACTTGTTTTTGTATTTATTTGTTTTTTGAGGCAGGGTTTCACCGTGCACTGCAGGCTGGCCTTGAACTTGCTCGGTAACCCAGGCTGGCCTCAAACTGAGGACCTTCCTGCCTCTGCTCCCTAAGGTCTGAGATTACAGGTGTGGGCCACCATACCAACTCCACAAGTATTTTTGAATGAATAAATAAACACAAGAAACTTTGGTTTCTCTACCTAAGAGCTGGCCCAGTCTTCCATGGCTCCACATAATTTCCTCCCATCATCTCAAAGCCTAAATCCACACCTCTGAGGGGCCCTCTTGCGTCCTGTCATTGGCTCATTTTCACAGCTCCCCATCAACACCTGACAAGGACAGCTCCATAAGGACCCCAGCCTGCCCTTGCCCTCCGCTCCTCCCACCTCTCACCTCAGCCCCTGCACAGCCCTCCTTCCTCTCCTCTCTCCCTCCCTGCCCCGTGGTCTTGGCAGAGTGTGAGTGGCCACCTCAGCCCTCTGTGTCAAACCTGTGGCCTTCAAGATGAAGGGTAAAAGTCACCCACAATGCACCTGCCCTCCTCACTCCCTCCTGGGGTAGTGGCTGCTGCTCTGCTGCAGGCTACCTGGAGTAGCTCTTCCTTCTCACCTTCTGGGTCCTTCTATCCCATGTGTCTCCTATATCTGAGGTTCTGCTTTTATTTTCTTTTAGGTCTTGCAGGTAGCCTCCAGCATGCTATTCAGTTATAGGAACTTACCCAGGACAGGGTTGGGATGTGGAAGGTGGGGGATGTTGGACTGATTTGGGAGGAGAGGAGATGCATCCTTCACCAGGGTGGGCTATTTGCCATGTAGTCACCCATTAAACTGTCAGCCCTCTCTGCTTCCCTTTCTCCATCCATCTCGGCACTCCTCTGCCCGTCATCTGTCTACCCATTCATCCACAGTCTGTCATCTATCCATTCACACACCCATCCACATGCCCATCCATTCACCCATGCACCCATCATTCACCACCCATCCCCTGGGCTCCATCCATCCATCTATCTGCCCATCCACTGTTCACCATCCATCCGCCCATCTGTCTGTCCACTCATCCACCTAGCCATCCATTCATCCAGTCTTTATTAAGGATTATCCAGTCTTGATCTGGTAAAGCTATATAGTCTTTCTGGACCACAACTTTTTTTCCTCTATAGAATGAGGTTGTCATACTTACCTTATGGGACCGCTGTGACCATCACAGGAGACCACACGTGGACACCTGGCACAGAGCAGGGGCTCAGCCAGCACCTCTCTTCAAAGCACTGACATCAGCTCCCTGGTCTGGGTGTCGGGTACCCAGATATACTTGCTGCTTCCACCTCCTGTCTTCTGCAGAGGGCTCAGCAGAGGGCTCAGTGGGTCACACTCTGCCCATGGGAGGGGAGGGGGAGCTGTGGCCCAGGTGATGCACAGCCCACAGAGGGGCAGGCACAGGGAAACTTGTCCCTGTGTCCAGGTGGGACAGGCAGGGGGCCTAGGAAGTGTCAGATTGTGTGTGTGTGTGTGTGTGTGTGTGTGTGTGTGTGTGACTTCCCTCTTTCCCTTCTCTGCATCTTTGTGCTTTTTTCTCCTCCTTCATTTCCTGTTTTTTCTTCCCTTTCTCCCCTTTCACTTCAAGTCTCCTCTCTCTGCTCAGCTCTTCCTCTTCCTCTCTCCTTTCTCTTTATCTCTCTGCTGGCCATCCTCATCCTTCCCCTCCTCTCTTTCCCTTCCTATCCCTCTCTTTGCCCCTGTCCTCAGGGAGATCTGCTCCTGCAGGCTGGGTCCCCCCTGGGGCCATCCGGCTTCACAGAGATGGAGATCCTTGGGGCAGGCTCTGCAAGGTTTCAACCTTCTGTTCCTGGATAGCCGCGGCCTTCACCTAATGCATCTTTACTGAGCAGCTATATATACCAGGCACTCGCTAAGCTACTTAGGACAAATCCACGAACTCAGCAAACAAAAGCTCATAACTTCAGGTAGGTGCAGTGAGGCACACCTGTAACCCCACCACTCTCTTAGGCTGAGGTAGGAGGGTTGCCAATTTGAGTCCAGCCTGGGCAATATAGCAACTTAGTAAGCACTTGTCTTAAAAGAAAAAAATGTAAAAGGGGGTGGAAATGTATCTCAGTGCAGAGACCCTGGGTTCAGCTTCCAGTCACACACACACACACACACACACACACACACACACACACCCCTACTTTCTGGACTTTGCCAGGAGGAGGCTGAGTCTTACACATAATCATCTAATGTGATGGTGAGAGGTGGTTGCTGTGGATTTTGGCATTACTGAATACCATTCCTGTGATTTACTTAATATATTTCTTTAGGCTGAGTCACGTTAAATGCACACACATACGTGTAAAGGAAACGCTGTGTTGCTGGAAATAAAGCAAACCCAATACCAGTGGTCTTTCAGCAGAGGGTCTTTTCAAAAACAAGGGCAATGGAAATATAACGCTGTAATGAGAAAGGCAGCTTGGTGCCGTTCTTAGCCTTTTTTGTTTCTGAGGGGGAAACTGAACTTTGTTGTTATGGCTTGTGTCTAGATGTCCCCCCAAAGCCTCCTGAGGTCATAGGTGGGGCTTTTTCAGAGTGGCTGGATCTAGGGTGTGTGCTGCTGGGATCGACTCATGATGTGACACTAGGACTAAAAGTGCCCCACCTTGCATGTGCGTGCCACCTGCCCCAAGGGTAGGTAGCCTGGATAGGATAAAGGGACAGAAAATGTTATTACTTGTTGCTTGTCACTTGGTGCTTGCTGCTTCCCGCCTTCTGCTTGCCGTAGACTGTTTCTCCTCTGCGATGCCCCTCTGCCATGCCCCCTGCCTTGCAGCCAGCCGACTATGGACTGAAAGCTCTACAGACTGCGAGCCAAAACAAACCTTTCCTCCTTCAGCTTTGGGTGTCAGGGATTTTGTCTCAGCAGTGAGAAAAGTAACGAAGACTCTTGCACCCCACCGTGCCTTTGTCGAGAACAGGAGTTGGTAGTGCTGGATTTGCCGAAGACAGCCAGGACGTGAGGACAGAAAAGGGGAAGGATATTGTTTAAATAAACCTTTCTCCACACCACTGAAATCCTCTGTCCCAGCTTGTCCCATGTTCCAGCGCCCCTGTTCCGCCCTGAGTCTTGGTCTCCCCATCTGGAAACAGGGATGATGGACAAATGGTCAGTGCAGTGACTGTGAGGGGTAAGGGGGCTGAGGGCCAGCAGGGTGGGTGTCCCCTCTCCCCACCTGGACAGCTGTCCCAGACAGCTGGGGAAAGGTTCCCCAGCCCCGCCCCAGGCACCCACACCTCTCACCTGCTCCTCCTGACCCCTTAGAGGCCCCCAGAAGCACAGCTGTGCCCACTCCTGGCTGGAGGGTTCACACCATGGAGATCTAGGGTCTGCCGTCGTCCTGCAGGGAAATCTGGCTGAGCTCTCTGTGCATTTTATGATTTGCTGCATGCAGGACCAGGAGGGGTGGGGTGGGGGAACCACAGGTGGGACTGGGCACCTGCTCCAGCTGCCCAGCTCCCACATCTTCATTTCCTGTGGGAGGGGCTGGGATGTGCAGATCACGGGAGGCAGTGAGCTGAGTGCTTGAGGGACATGGGATGAAGAGCAGTGTCCAGGACTGACGCCAAGGAGTTGGGGGAGCAGTGTGTGCAGAAGCCCAGGGGTGGGGAGGGGGCATCTAGGGAGCAGCTGTGGGCCAGGAGGCGGGGCCTGGGGTGGCAGTGTCTACAGAGAGGACAGGGCTCGGTGTGGACAGAGCAGGGGGACGAAGAGGCTGCTGTGTGCAGGACAGAAGAGGGACTGGGGTGGAGGGAAGGGGATGCAACCCATAGGACCCAGGTTGGGGTGATTACAAGTGGGGTCAGAGGCCTTGACCTCAGGCCACAGGGGAGACCGTGACGATCAAGAACCATGATTGTCAGCTGGGTGGGTTGGTGTCCACCTATAATTACAGCACTCTGGGAGGCTGAGGCAGGAGGATCTGAGTTTGACCCAGCCTTGCCAACTTAGTAAGACCTTGTTTCAAAAAATTTTTGAAAAGGACTGAGGTGGTAACTCAGTGGTGGAACATTCCTGAGTTTGACTCGCACCAAGGCAAATAAATAAATAAAGCAGAAAAAGCAAAAGAACCATAATTGTTCTGGGTTTATATTTCTCGGCTACCCCGGCTCAGAGAGGACAAATCTCTTTCATACCAGACAGGCGTCTGCTCTGCACCCTGGATGGGACCCCACCTCCCTCCTTCCTTCCCAAAGAGATGGGAATCAGGGCCGTGCTCCTCCAGGGTGGGACTCAGGGTGGCCGGGAGCCCATGAGCCTTTGAAGGGGTAGGTTGCTGTCTTGGTTACTTTTCTCTTGCTGAGACAAAATACCCATCACCCAAAATTCATGAAGGAAAGGTTTATTTAGCTCAGTTTGTGGAGGTTTCAGTCCATAATCAGCTGGCTCCGAGGCTTGGTGGCATGACGCAGGGGCAACAGTCTGTGGTGCAGAAGACAGCAAAAGCAGCAAAAGCACAAAGGGAGGCGCAGCAGAGAGCAAGCCTCTTTCCTTCCCTTACACTGTATGCAGGCTGCCTGCCCCAGGGCGGGGGTAGCATCACACCCATAATCCCAGCATTGGACCATGGGCCAGTCATAAATTCTAGAAGCTTGCCCCAGGACTGCATGAGGCTTTGAGGGGACGTCAGGACACAAACCCTAACAGGCACGCCCTCGGGGTAGAGGCTGGGGAGCAGGCGGCCTTCATCCTTACTGTCCAGACAGCTAATTCTCTGCTTTCATCTAGGGGTCTCTGTGCTGCTGTGCTTGTATAAGGCAGGCCTTGGGTTTCACACCCCTCCCCGCCTCCCCGAGCTAAGTCCCTTTCTCTCTTCCATCTCTCCCTTCCTCCTTCCTCCCAGGAGCCATTCAATTTTTTTCTTCCTTCAGTGCTGAGGAAAGAGCCCAGGGCCTTGCACGCGCTAGGCAAGTGCTCCATGCTTGAGCTGCACCTCCAGCTTTTTATTTATTTGTCTATCTTGTTATCTGTTTATCAATGTATCTATCTATCTATCTACCTATCTGCCTATCT